TCTTCCTGTGCATCAGCTGCAGATTGAAGGCTTTCTCGTTTGTCTTCTATTTGTGCTGCCAATCATCAAGCTGCTGTTCACCAAGCACATTTCAAGGAGGCAATTTTTTTTGCTCCCATCGACTACCATCTCTAGCAACTGAGGGCTCAGAGGATTTAGAAATAAATTTAATGCTTTAATTTGCACTGTGCCAGCCATTTTGTGCATTGTTTATGTATTTGTTTTCTGTGACAATTCAAGAGACAGTTACAACTTTCCTGTTTTGCAAAACAACACATGAGAAAGATTTATGTTTTGGGGACACATTTTTCAGGTACTTTCTCTTATGCTACTGTTCTCATTAAAAAGGTTGAACAGAAAAATATCTTTTCAAGAAAATATGATTTTTTTAACCTATTAAGTAGTTAAAAACATGAAAAATGCAAACCTAAATCAAACAAAAGCTAACACAGATATTCCTTCCCACCATCAAGGATAAAACATTTTATAGAATAAAAGAGCTATCATTGGCAATATAATTTAATGTTTAAGACCCTTAGGTGTGGGGGCCATGCTTCAGTTAACAGTCCTTCAATCTCTACCAAGTGCAAATGTAACAGGAACCCTCTTGTTACATTTATTTTATTTAGGAGTACCTAAATAGCTTTTACAAGCAGATGTGTGATGTACGTATTTTTTTGTGGGCCAGATTAGTGATGAGATGTGATTCTGAGAAGTTATGACCTCTGAACTTCTGTTGACAATTCTGTGACTGCCCTGATCAAGATACAGAAAATTCTTACTCATCAATACAATTTTTTGTTTGACGAATTCTGCTACCCTCCTCTTTCACTTCTGTAGCAGGTTCTCCACAATTTAGTTTTTAAAACCAAAATGTTTGCTGTTAGTAATTGTTAGAGTTAATGAAGACTGATTTGGACATACATACAGCCTTTAAAGTTTCTATTTTCTTTGTGGTGTAATAAAAAGTTAGTGCACAGTGCACCTTCTGTGAATTTAAGAACCTTCCAGTCTCTTTGGCACTATTGCAGTTAAGCTCTACACATTCCCCTCCCCAGTATCCCCCTGCCTAATGTACCTAAAAATTCCCATTGAAGTAAGTTCTTTAATTTCTCTCTAATATTTTCTTGAGCCTTTGTAGGTGGCAAGCAATGGATAAAGGAAGGAATTGAACTTGTTCAGTGTTATTGAACCAGAATATGTTCTTTCAAAGGGGACAGCTCAAAGGAACAGAATGGCCAGAATTAAACCCCTTTAATATTACATAATTTAAAAAAAAACTTATTTAGAATCAGCAAACGAGCTATTAATAGGATAGCTCCCACTTAGGCTTTGTACATCATGATTCATTCTGCAAGCACTGGGAACTTTGGCACCAATTTCCTGCCACTTCTTTTCTTTTATATTTGGGATAAAGTGAGAATGCAATGGATAAAGAAGGCCAAAAGTCTGGAAGAAAGCCATGTTTAATACTTGAGGATTTGTTTGGCATAGGAGTTGATACTACTTGTGCTGTGAGAACTGAGCAACTTCTATTCAGTGGTATCAAAGCAGCCTCTAAATATGTTTTGAGTCTTGTTTGCCTTCTAAAATTTCTGCTGTGTGATTTTTTGCCACTTTATTTCCTTTATGTAAAATGAATGTCAAGACCATTCTTGTCAAATCTGTTTTTAGTACAAAACCCACAATAGAATACTGGTAAAGAAAGCAGATACGTGGAGAAAGTACATACATATGAGGAGCTGAAAAACTATGGGAATCCCTGCCAGCTAATGGAAGTGTGTATTTTAAGTGGAATACCATTCCCAGAAGTTGGATCCCAGTGGGAAAAGGCCTTTAGAGATGAGAAAGCAGCTAGGTAAAATAACACTTGAATTGTACTTCCCATGAAATTTTTATGTGATATTGTCTGTCTTAAATCTGTTAAAGATAATGGCATATATTGATGCAGTTGGGGGCCACAGTAAGCACAGCCCCCTGCTTCCCCCTTCCCATGGTCACAGGAAAACTTTTAATGGGTGCTAAGAATGAGTAAAGGGGAAAAGACCAAGAGGAACAGGGCTGTAACTTGTGGAACAGTGATGAATTGCATGCCAGAAAACCAGAATAGGTTTCTGAGAGAGGTGTACAATGCCCCAAACCAGTGAGTTTAAGGGGAATTTGGAGTCTAGTTTGGAGTAAATGATCCTTGTAGGTCCCTTCCAACTGAAATAGTCTTTTCTATCTTGTCTGATCCTGGCTCAAACACCTTTGGTGGCAAACTAGAGAGATGTTAGGGGATACTGGCCATGCATGGGAAATAGCTTGGCATTTCAAAGCCTCCCTGAATCTTACTCTTTCCTGGATACAGAAAGCTTATTCTACTGTGGGTCAGCGATGCACAAGAGGTTCACAAATCTCAGGATATAATTTTAGTCTGTAGTCAGACTTTTTGCTTCTTTTAGACTAACAGTGGACTGTCCATGCCAAAAATATACCTTAAAGCTAGAAATGGTCAAACTAGGAAAGGAAAAGTATAGTATAGAATGTAAACATCTGTTAATCTGTTTTTCAATATTTAACAAATGCAGTTTCTATCTCTCTAGTTTGTACTTAGTATTATGGGTGTCTTTCCATTCTCTGTAATCTTCTGTTACAGAGAATTACTTGCCCAAATGTCCTAAATAGCATTTTATGTCTGAAGCTTTGGATGCCCATCTTCTTTCATTGGAATGAAATGTCTGTGGCAGAGAGCTAAGATAACTTGGCAGACAGTTTTAGGATCAATGTCCATAAGCTTTCATATTGCCAATAAACCATGAATGTTTATTGTGACATTGGCAGTTTTTCTTTGTTTGGATAGTGATTTCACTAAGGGTTTCTAAATGTTAATCGAGCAAATATGAGTGTATAGAAAGAAAAAATTATAGGCTAAATAATAATAGCTTAAATTAATGTCAAAGCTACCCTGTGAATTCCAGTGTTTGGATTCCATTAGGAATCTAAATCTATCTATTAGGAAACAGCATAATTAAAGATAAAAATAACCCTAGTGCTTAACTACAATTTAATTTTTTTTAAAAGGAAAATATTAAAAAAAAACCTGAACAAGCAGTTATAATCTCTTACTTATGATTCCCTATGGAGATCTTTAGATGAGATTATGTATTTAGAATACATTCTCATCTGGTTGGGAGCATTGTTCCCTAAATAACAAAAAGTCAAATTATATTACTGCCCAAAACTAAATAGTCAAATTACATAGTGTTTATGTTCTTTCCTTGTGTTATTTGTACTAAGAGAGTAACAGTTTAAAAGTATCTAATCCTATAAAATCATAGTTTGTAACATAAAAGGAATCAGGTAAGGTGGTCACGAGAAAGATGAGGTAAAAAACGTTACATTCCAGCAAGAGCTGTTTGCTTCCCTGCTTACTAACTCCTGATGTTTTGAGGTTTAACTATTTTCAATGGGAAGTTCTTTATATTTGTGGAATGTTTTAAATTATCAAAAGGAAAATAAAACTAAGAGTACTCTGGAAAATTTTGTATCATCTGTGATATGGAAGCTGGCATGATTGTTTGCAAAAGTATTACTGAAATGAAAAGTTGTTTCTTGATGTGTCTTTCTGCTTGTAAAGGTGAAATAGGTTGAGCATGGTTCTGAGAGTATAAGGTTGTGTAGGACAATAAAAACATACCAGTCATAAATGCTTAAAGAAAAGGGCAGAAGTGTCAACAAGGAGTTTATATTTCCTCACTCCTGGTGTTTCCCTAAAGGTAAAAGATACTTCTTTAGTAGGTGCAGCAGGATTGTGATATAAGGTTGTGTGTAGCTGTGTGAACTCATCAGCTCATTTGTCTCATCATCAATGTGCCTGGAGATAGTTTGTCACACCATAGTGTCAACCCTATGCCAAGGGTATAAAAGCTGTAAAATTTTCTTCTTAATGACAATTTCATTTAAATAATGAAACTGCAAGGCTTTAAAATAGTAATTTTTATTTTTTGTGAATATGGTTTTGAGCATTTCCTTATGTTCAGCTGACAGTTCATAATTGTTAAGTTACTTCTGTAGTTTAACATGTGAGTCTAAAGTTGAGAGCAGCTGTAGCTCTTCTGAAATTTTCTGGTTTCAAAAACTATGTTATTTGGTCATTTATTAACAACCTTAATTAGCTATGTGTATTTATGATGTTGGTATATAGAATTGAAATTATGCTTTACAAATTGCCATTACTGTGAATGGGCTTCAAAGCTGGGGAAAAAGTATCAAAAATTCTAGAAAGATGCAGGTAGGAAATAGGGTGGCACAAGATAGTCAGATGTTCACAAACCTTGAAGTAGCCTTTTTCTCTTAATTATTTTCAACTAAAACAATTACTTGTGTGTGTGTAGGTTTATTTACCTAGGTATGGTTCTTCTTACCTTATTGTTCTTGATACGTGACTTATCTCAGCAGGAGGTAACTTTTAGGTAGCATTGCATGTTTTGAAATAGAAAAAGGCATAGTTTTTATCCCATACAAATCCCCTATATATAGCTGTATCTATTTATATAAATATATATCCCATATAGCAAATTGCAAAAAGGCATACAGACACTCAGGGTTTGCAAGAGTTTTGCAGCAGTGTAGGATTTGCTTATCTAGATTTAGCTTGAAAAAAAAAAAGGTTTTATACTTTAAAATTTTCCAAAAATGCTTTTAGCTTGAAATAAGACTTAGCAGTAAAAATACCAGCCTAGAATTTTTGTGAAGATATGTGTAATCTATAGTATGGTTGTATAATTGAAGACATTCAAGAGCCTGTTTTATAGTATTTACACACAGATGTCACTGCGTATCTTAAGCTATTTGGAAGCAAATCTTTTTTACTTAATCAAAACTGAATAAATGTAATGAAATTGAACTTAAAGGAGCTAATAGGTTTTGTCAATTCCATAGGCAATTCCATGTTGCTGTCTTGAAATTTACACAGTACTGTTGGATTTTACTTTGGACATTTAATATTTTTCTTTCAGTTGACTGATACCAGCTTCATCCAGCAACCCTTTACTATTTTACCAGCTAAGACAAAATGGAACAATGCAAACTTTCATATTCTCTTATTTGACCTGGAAAAACTTGAGGAACTTCTCTCGTCTCAACTCAATGGATTAAAATCATCAAAATCATTCCACAACCAATCCAGTCTAGAAAGAGCTAAAAGTACTACTGAGAAAAGGGCACTGACATTAAAAAGAAATAAAAGTGCTGCCTTCGTACCTCGAGTGGATGGGCAGGCAGAGACTGTTTGTTCAGACCAAGTTCATAGGGATAATAATGCAGCCAAGCCTGTGGAAGAGGGTGGAGGCATGAAAAGATGGAAAAAAATGAAGAGCTCAAGAAAGATCAGAATGCAGCCCTCAGGAAACATCGATGTGAACGTCACCACCGATACAGCTAAACTGTTTTTGTCATGTCTCCTACCATGGGGTTTAGATAAAGAAATAGACAATCTCTGTGCAAGACACTTGGATATCTCGAGGCTTCAGTGTCCTGTTTCTTTTGGGCTTGTGTCAGATGAAAGCCACCTCTCACTGATGTTACCAGGATGGAAATGTAGTGATTGTGGTGTGCCAGGAGAACATGAAGTTTTCAATTTGTTTTCAAAAAGGGTCCTTGATTTATCAAACAAATACCTTGCTGCAACTGAAGGACAATCTGGAAAGAAGGATGGACCTGAGAATGATGATTATGGAACAAGGGACTTGGAAACAGTATTTTTCTTATTTAGCAGAATAGCTTTAATCAACAGGATAATTAACACATCTTCAGCAGTTACAGATGAAATTGAAAGGTAAGAACATCTTCATTATGAGTGCATTATATTTTCTAATGTCTCTGTGTCTAGACCTGATTCCTCCTAGTCATACTAATGCACTTTGCTGTACCTTTCTGCCCTGAAAACACATAAAAAATGAGGGATGCCATAAAATAAAACACCAAGACAAACACCTTGATTTTGAAGAACAAGTCACAGCAGAGTGATCTCTAAACATAAATTATTAAATCAGTATTATTCCTGTCCCAAACCTTACCTCTGAAGCTCTGTTATTAGGTAACACACAGCCAGTCACATGCCTTTTGGGAAAAGGATCTTCATCGAGTACATCTCCATCCTTTCAGCTTCTGTGCTTCTTCTGTCTGACCTTGAGATTAGCTCAGGTGGTTAGAGAATAGTGCAAATATCACTGAGGTATTCAATCCGTCTCTGGGCCATTCGCTTAAGAGTTGAGCTTGATGTGGGTCCCTTCCAACTAAGGATATTCTGAGTCTTCCTTTGTAGTGTTTAAAAAATGAAACAAACTTTCTTAAATATGTACTTCTTTAATGGTGTTTATGTTTTTTCTCTAGAGCTTTTTGACAGATGTTCTTTGAAGGAAAGGTGATCAGGATATAATTAAGTGTATTTACATTTTTCAGTTTAGCAGATGAGAACGGATGGAAAATTTTTTTTCATTAGAGCAAGAACTTGAATTATCCAGCCTTACACCCAGTTTTTCCAGAGATCACTCTTTTTCTTGGAGTTCAAACTAAGTAGAGTAATGAGGTCTCTTTAAGCACATTTGTGCTGTTTAAACTTCCACTCCCTATAAGCAATATACTTCCTTTGCCATGGAACCCTTGACTTCAGAGATAAATAAAACATGAGAGAAGGACAGTCTGCCCTAGTTATCTATAGTACAATGCCCCCAGTAGTGATGGCAGCTACTGGGAATGAATGCTTCATCAGCTCTTATGTTGTGAGGACCATCCCGAATAGCTTTATGCTACTCAAAGCAAATTTATTGACTAAATGCTTTTTCAGCATTAAAGGAAAAATAACATGTTCAACATTATTTGACCAAGCCAAATAGAGCATGTTAATGAGGCAATGGATATTGTCAACAGATTTTTTGTTGTTTGGCAAACATAGTGTTGGTCTGTATTTAGTTTTTTAGGGACAATTAACTTCAGTGTTGGTGATGCTATGGCCCTAAGGCAAGAAGGGGGGGACACAAAATACTCATCTTGCAGCAAATATCTGTGTTTCCCCCAAAGCTCTAGGCACTCAGCATTTCTCAAGACGTGCACCACCCCACAGGACAAATGCACGTTTCTTGGTTGCTTTTACTGCTAATCATGTTGCCTATTGCTCCATATTCAATACAAGCTCTTATATGAATACTTGTTTCAGGATTCCAGCTTGAACATGAATTCTTTTCTATGCAAAAAATTACTTTATGCTTGCCTTGTGCAGCACTCTTTTGGAAAGATATTGTGTAAGTGAAATTGATTAGCGTACCAGAATCAAACATTTTTCCCAGACATGCATGTCCTGGCTTTGAGACATATCCTGTAAAATTAAAAGTATTAAAGTTGCTGCAAGGAAAAAATGTCTTCCTTTTTTTTTTTTCTTCAGAACAATTCTATATAATTTTAAGTTTTCTCCAGGATACATAAACACTTGAACTCTACCATCTTTAACAAATGTTATTTTGGCTAGTTTTCCTTCACAAAGTACAGTATGCAGCCAAACCTCTTTGGACAGTTACTTTATCCAAAACTGCAATATGCTCAAGGGAAAAGTAACCTACATACTGAATTCTAATTCACCACAGCATTTGCAGAAGTAGTTAGTAGGACAGCTCTCACAGCTTGCACAGGCTCTGGTGTTTGTCTGTCTGTTGTTTTTTTGCAACTTGACACAGCCTGGGAAAAAAAAGGAATCTGCAGGAAAATGTGTCAGATCATATAAGTGGGACAGAAACAGGAAGAAGATGGGAAGGAAAGATCTTCACAGTTTGTTTTCTCCTGCTTTTTGACATTTATGTTTCTAACTTAAAGTTCTCAAGCTGCAAGCTTTCAGAGTTGTTTGGTATTGTAAAGTCATTTGAAATGTTAAGACTCAGTATTCATTGCAGTGGATTTAAAAGGCAAATACATTATTTTTAAAATGACCCATAAATGTAGTTTTTGGAGGTCACTATAGTGATTTATCTAAAATAAATAGTTTAAATTGTGCAAGGGTTTGCAGTGTTTTTTTTCACTTTCTTTCTCTGCCATCCATATCTTTTGTTTTGAAGGGTTAGGTTGCTGAGTTAGTGACTCAGAAAGAGCAAGCATATGTACGCTCTAGTCTCCTAAATTGTAGCCATCCACTGAAATCCCAAGTATTGTAATGATACTCTAAATTATTTACCACTGTGGAAAAAAAAGAGGAAACCTATAAAAAAAAGGCTTTTAGTTTCCCTTGAACTTTTATCCTGTGTATTAGAAAAAAAAACCCAGACAAATTCTTTTGTGAAAATGGTATTTTAATTCAGTTTTTTACATAAGAATTTCTTTCTTTATTGCAAAATAAAGCTTCACATCTGGCTCAAAGCTTATTAGGCTTAAGTTCCTTAATTTGGATCGTACTTTTTAGTTTTGCATATTTATGAATGTTTCAATACCAAGTTGTAGTCAAAAGAATGCGAGTGACTTCTGAGGAGAAAATTAATTGGTGTTGATGGCAATTTATATCAGAGTACCTACTGTAAAAAAACCCAACCATACCTTAATACATAAGATTTCTTGTATTTGTGTTCAGGTTTTGTTTAATAGTTTCTTATTATTTTAGTCCACAGAAACCAGAATCTGTACCTGACAAATGGCGAAATGTAGAAGCAGTAACACTTTCATGCTCCAGTTTTTATGGAGACTTACCAAGCAGTAAGTATATAAATTGGAAGTATTAACTTTTAAGTGTTCTGTTTTTGCATGCTTTTTGTTGCTAAAATATGGAATTTAATTTCAATAATGATAAAAATATTGCTCTTTATTATGTCCAATCAGCAAACAGAGAAACTGAATTACTCTGTTTCTTCTGTGAACATCGTGAAAAATATGTAAAGTGTTAACTGGAATCAATGATAATTTTCCTGTTATGACAAGACATTTAGCTGAGCTTCTAAAGACACTTTCCAGCAATCAGAAAAGCAGAAATGTAATAAGACAAACACTGCCCTCACCCCCTTCCCCCATCTCCCTCATCACCATTACGTGCCCACCCAATAATATATACAGCCCTCCAAGCAAACTGTTGCCTTAGTAATGCAAGAGCCACCCTGACTGTTCAATAATGCCTTTAGACTTCTGGCTCAGGGCAGAATAAAGTAATCTGTTCCTGTTAATGTCCCACAGGCTATTGCTCATCAATCTTGGCTTTGCAAGCCAGCCTTGGTTTGTTTACTGTATGTAACTAACCAAAGAGCATTTAAATAAAAACCTGAACAGAATATGGATGTTTGTCAGGACACATTACCTGACAAAAACAGTGTTCCTCTTACAGAATAAGCCATGTCTAGACTGAAAACACAAGTCCTTTTACATCAAATCATGATGCTGCACTGTATACATAAATCTTAATATCCCCATCAAAAATGAGTTATTTTTTGTTCTCTGAGTCTAATATGCACCAAAACTATAGAACTTGCAATGACAGCAGAACTGTCCATTTGAAAAAAAGAGATGGAACATAAAATCAAGTGACAATAGAAAATAGGTAGGGGAAAGGTATGGAAATAGTGTAGAGGTGACTAAGATGTTCATGAACATAAAAATAGATTTACTGAGTGACCTAAAAATTCCAAGGTAATCTAACTCATACACCATATCTCATAGTTCATACAGTTGTTCAGATTTACAAATTAAAATCTAATTTGAGACAAGCAGATCTCAGAGATTCTAGGAACAACCTGTTCTTTAGCATCAAGGACATGCTGGACAGCAGAACAGGGATTGCATAGTTAAGTAGTCTAAAAGAGTAGGTATTTTTAATATATTTAGAAAATTGTGATGAAAGAGTACTCCATGAGATATCAGTTCTCTGTTCAAAAAACAAACAAATAAAAAAACCCGGGAGAAAGAATTAAAAACCCAACACTAATTTAATTTAGGATGAGAATAAATGTTAAAGCAATAGATTGTCTGAACACTTTGTGCTTATTGTATCAGATGAGAGCATGTTCTAAGAAAATAATTTTTTTCAGATTTCAGGTATGTTGCTGAAAATATTTTCATGTTTGTGTGCTTCTCTATATATTGTCAGTCCATAAACTATATTTGTGTTTTCAGGTAAGAGTAGATATCATTCCCCAGACTTTGGGAGCATTTCATTGCTGAAACTCATTTGTTGTTGGAATGACCAATCTGTAAAGGTAGGAAATAGCCTGTGTCAGTTGTAGCAATGTAACCCTTAAGTGCCATTTGCTGTAATTTAGTATTTGGAATCATAATTTATGGGGAAACTATTACATAAGTCATGCTATTCAGGTCTGTGGAAAGCAGATTAGTGTTACAGTATGAAGTATGCCACTCATGAAACTATTTAGCCTTAAAGTAAATGTCTAGTTATGACAGAGTAACTCTCCTACTAATCTTTCATCTAAGTGCTCCTGTTCATAGCATTTATTTAGGAAATTAGTTATTTTTTTCTCTGACAACTACACATAGCTTACATCAAAAATGCCATTTTTGGTTCCAGGAAAACAAAAGGCCAAAATAAGGGCAGTGTCCTATATTAATGTATTACTATAGAAGAAACTGAAAATACCTTAGCGAAGAGTAAATATCCTGAGTCCATAATTATTACAGCATTCTTTAAGAACAACTTGCAAGTCATGTAATTATGGGTTCTTCAGGTCAGATGATGTTCATCCTTATTATTAGTTAAGAATCTGAAGTCTTGAGAGATAAATAACTTTTTGAGAGTTGACAGGCAGCAGTGAAACAACCTAAGCAGTGAAATCTAGAGACCATTTTTCATTTTGGAAATATGCATTTATATAAAGTTGTTTGAGTGAGTTGATATTCGGGGATACAAAACTCAAGATGTTATACTCTGACCACAATGGATTTTATTCCAGAAAGGGGAAATACCTATTACAAATCTAGTTTATGATATTACTTTTGAAATTGAATGCAACTCTCTGCTGCTTCAAATGCAAAGATTTTCCAGAGCTGAGTTTTTGCAAGGGTACTGCAGTGATAGCCTGCCTGTTCTGTTAGACAAAAATAGTTTCTGCAAATATTCACATTCAATTGATTCCAGCATTCCATCTTGAACTTATCAGTTTTTTATTATATTCCTGCTGTCTGCACATCTTCCATATTATTTCTGAATTATTTTTCTCTTCCTTTTCTCTTAAAGTTTTTTCCTTTTCTTTTGACACCTCAATAACTGCAATTGTCACGTGGAATGTACATAATCTCTTGCTGACCTGGTCAGCAAAACTCTTTAGAGAGTAGTTCATATATTTATGGAAGTGGTGTTTGTGGAATAATTGATTATGTGAGATCTAGTTATTTATATTTTTGAGTGTATTTAGCAACTGATCAGAGTTGCATACAATGATACTGGTCTTACCTAGCACAGGAGGTCAGTGCGCTGGAAGATCAGGTATGGAATAAGATGTCTCACATTTTTTCACATGAAAAGACTTTAAATTTGGACACTGAAATTGTCAAGTACTGCAAATATCATGCTCTCAACGCTTCTCCAATTTTAACATTATTCATGTACAGCATTGTAGCTGCACTAAGCTTTGTTAGCCCACTTAGTAGCACAGATTTTGGATTTCTTGCCACCAAAGTGCCATAAAAATTTCAAGATTCAGGAAAAAAAAAGACCTTGGCAGTAGATATGACATTTAGTGACTAGCAGTATGAAATGATAGGTTTTGTTGAGAATAAAATTGTTTTGTTAAAACTTTATTTAATCACAGTTTAACAGCCAATTTATTAATCCTGAACAGCCTAGTTAAGCACTCGTGTACATTTACCAAAAACATCACTGTTTAGGCTGTTTTTAAAAACTTTTTCTATTGTGATCTTCTGTGAAGGATAGTGACTCTGAGACACGACCCAAAGGAGTTACCAATTATTGATACCTCATCCCCTTACAGCACTGTAACAGATTGTGTGTAAAAAAAGAAACTGTAAAAGCCTGCTGAAAAAACCTGCGGCAAATGTTTTATCAAGGGTCTTGTTTTATCAACTGATTTGTTGAAGTTGAATGTTGTAGGGTTGCCATTTTCTGAATCAAATTTTAAAAATGTGTATGTTTGAAAAATATTTTTTTAGTGTTTTCTTTTCCCCAGATAGTTTGAAAGGAAAGGTCATCTTCATCTGTTTTGCTGTTCATTCAGATAAAATATAGCCATTCCTTGCCACACTCCTGTCCCACCCAGAAATTACCTGCGTGTCCACCTTTCCAGATAGATATATGAAGAAAAATATACAGTTCAGTAGAAGTATGTAGACAGCTTTCCTGACAATTACTGTGCAGAATTAGAGCAAAGCAGATTGGACCATTCAGGTTAGTTTCAACGTGTATTTTTTGCTCTGTTAAGTGACTGTATTATGGAGGCACCTAGGAGGCAGTTTCTGCAAGGCTCAGACCTGTAGAGGTTATGGCCTGAGCAATAACCAGGAGTGATAGCTATTGACTTCTCTCCTTAAACCCACTCATTAGGAAGAGAATTGAAGTAATTGATAAAGTGTAGAAAGGAAAGCCATGATAACTTAGTATAGATGTAACAGTACAACTTACCTCAACTTTTGTTCACTTGTCTTTTTGAATTATTCTGTATTATTGCTGCTTCAGAGTCAAACAATTATCTTTCACTTTTAATATCATTATTTATAGGTTGACATATGCTATTTATACCTCCTCAGTCAAAGAAACAGCATAATTTGTCACATATAACAATCCCAACTAAAAAGCACGTTGTATTTTCAACAGCAATTACAATTATAGGGAAAAAAAATTGAAAGCATATGTAGCCAATAAGGTAACTAATTTATATCCAGAAGGACTCTAAAGTGGAAATTATCAGAAAAAGTGAAAGGTGCTCATGTAGATTTGTTATGTTTTAAAAACAGGGAAAACTGCTGGAGATTGTTGAACTTGGTGATTAGGATAGATGAGGTATATAAATTTTGGGGTAAGATTCCATGAGAAGACAAAACTAAATGTGAAACCACACCAAGCACTGTGGAAATGCAGGTACAACAAAGACACAGTCAAGTAACATACAGAGACATCTGCAGGTGTCTCTACAGTAATATCATGTCATGCCATTTGTTTCAGTTTTTTGCTTTAGGATGTTAGAGGAAGTTATTACAAAAGCTGCCTGGCATGCACAGCAGTGATACAAGTAAAGAGCATCTGATCCAGATGAAGTGGCAGGTTCTCAGCAGATTTCTGTTGTGTACCTCTGTAAGAATTGTTTTGTCAAAAATTTCCCCAGGACAATGAAAACATGCCTGTGTTTCCTTCTCTTTCTTAATTATTGTAGATATATTGTAAGAGTGTGCTGCAAAGTCAGGATCTGTAATCCCCAAAGCTCAGGGCTGTATAGATGTGAGGAGCTGGAAACTGCCTTTGGTGTCCCCTGTAAAATAAAGTTCTATTATAACAAGATGAAGGTTTGTGCTATGTTGAATCATGTAGGGCTGGGTTCACTTGCAGTGAACTTTTACATTGTGGACTTGACTATGGTATATTTGTCTACAATAAAGGATTTTGTCAAAAAGGACACCCAGAGCCTTTGTTCCACTTCATCATTTGAATTTACAAGGGCAGTTAGAGATATTTTTGAGGACAGGTACTTGATTAGTGAGCTGAAATGATCTCTCTTCCAACCAGTTTGAAGGATCTTGTATATCTTCAATTAATGTGAAACTCAAATAATTTTAATAGCTTTTTTATAATATAAGTAGGATTTAAGCTTAAAATATATAATAAAATATATTAAAGTTTTTTATTCAATTTAAATTAATACATAAGTTGAGGTTGAAACCTTAGTTCACCCTGCTTTCCAGGAAATTTCTTGTACTTGAGAATGAATACTTTCCCAAATGGGAAAAATTTTATTCTTTTTTTAAAGGAAATACCAAATGCAGAGAAGGTGCACCAAGCTGAAATTTAGACTAAGAATTACAAAGGTTTGGGGTCTTTTGTCTAAGGTGTTTGTGTGCTTTTAAAGTGTCTTTACATCTTTAAATATCCTTAGTTCTTATGACATCTTTTTGCTGAAGAAGGGAAGTGTTTGCTCTGTCAGACAGTCTCCACGCTGCATTGTCCCAATGCCCACATGAGGTGCATCAGCTACTGCAAGTGCCATTTACAGGCTGCTCACAACTCCAGTTCCTTTTGCATAAGAGAAGTTTGAGGAATGGTATTTCTCCATGTTAAACAAAAAATGAGGGGGTGTTATGTTTAAGCTAAAGGAATAGAGCATCACCACTAATAACAAAACATTCTTTAAATTTTATCATAGAGATTAGATGCCAAAAATTCTAAAAAAGTCAAAACCAAGTCACCCCAAGACAACAAGGTCATTATTCAGTCTATCAAGCACTTTTGCATGCATCAGGAAAAAAGAATGAAAATACTTATTAGCCATTATCGTCTTGTGCTTTCCTAGCATATTTTGTTAGTAATTGTTTATCCTTGAAGTCAAGGAGGCAGAAGGTGATTGGTTTTAGATTTGACATTAAAGAAAATGAATGTTTATTGGGAAGCAGTCCTGACTGACAACTTACACTATTTTATTGCTATCTAGTTAACCTTTTTTTCTCAATGTGTATGTAGAGGCACATGATTATCCCTGTCTGAAAGACTTATTAATATGTGTTGACTTTCTATTGACATTCACCAGGACAGTCTCCAGATTTTGTGCTAGTTGGTTAAAATAGCCTAATACTTAGATAAATAATTGAGGTACTGATATCATCCAATAATAATTTGCATTTATGACAGATTATTGAGGCAATGCAAGCAGTGCTGCTGGCAGAAGTTCAAAGGACTATTAATCCCTTGAGAAAGACGACAGTTTGCAGAGAACCACTGGCCATAGTAGAGAATGAAAATGGTAAGTTTTGGACACTGACAAAGATGGAGAAGAGGGATTTGCAATACGTTAAAAATAATAGAGTGGTTTGGGTTGGAAAGGGCTTAAAAAATCATCCAGTTCCAACTGCCTGCTATGGGCAGGAGCACCTTCCACTTGACCAGAATGCTTAAGGCTACGTCCAGCCTGGCCTTGAACACTCCCAGGGATGGGCCATCCACAACTTCAGGAAACCTGCTCCAGTGCCCCACCACCTTTACAATAAAGAATTTCTTCCTTATATTTAAGCTAAATCTGTCCTCTTTCACTTTAAATACATTACCCTTTGTTCTAGCACTACATGACCTTGCAAAACATGCCTTTCAGAAAATTTTATTTGCCTTGTAAGTGGAAAATTTGTTGGTATATTATATGAAAAGAACTTCTTCTAGTAATCAGAATAAGCTGGGAGTATAAGTTCACAATACTTTATTTCTGTGTGTGACAGGCCAAATGTCCTATTTCTAACCTTATCAGGCTAGGAATTTTCTTTTATAATTGTCAAGGAGTTAAAGGACTTTCACACTCTCATCACCTCTGAATACTAAAGAAGAAAAGGTAAAGTTTCTTTGATTGTATAATAGGTCTGGTATTTGCAAATAAAAGAAGCACCGTGTTTGATATAGAATCAATAAATCATATTGTAAAGAAGTTTTACAAATTTATCTTTCCAGTGACATCAGACTTTACACAGCACTAAAAATTAATTGCTTAAATTTTATAACTTCATAATGTAATACAGAATATTTTATTTTTCTTTTAGAAATAACCTCCCAGCAAGGAGATCTCAAATGCATTTTACAATTAGATCATTTCATTTCACAAGAAGCTTACTCTCTGCAACTTTACAATGGTGCTAATGTTTATGGTAAAAAAGATTGAACCTGAATTTATGTTATGAAGTTATACTTTTTTTTGTTACCCCATTAGCTGAGTCTTAAAATTAAGTGACCTAAATTTTAGATCCAATCTTATTAGTGAGCCTTCACTTGGGAAACTAATTTATTATCTCATTGAGTGTGTGTCTGTCATGAAAATTTGTTACCAATATCCTTGTCCCAGCATACTAAAAATGATCAGTGATACTTGCTTCAAGCCACAATACAAAGATGTGTCTCTATAATTTTGAAATGCAAAACACTTCCACTGATTGTCATATATGAGTTTATACTTGGCTTACATTGAAGATTGTTTAGAATCATTTTGTCCATGTGGTTTGCCTCAAGGCAATATAACTAAAGCAGCCCCAGCTGTAAAATTCACATGTGGACTTTATTTCCAATTTCCTGAATTTTCAGGGTGTATTTCAATGAAGTATTTTGACAGAGATTTCCAGCTTAAATGGAACTAACTGAAAGTTGCAAATGCAGATGTCTCCGAAGTCCAAATGTGTTTAGATATTTGGGTTTGTTTCAAAACTTTCTGTACCAGATGGAAAAAAACATTTCTGCTACATAAATAGTGCTGATATGATTCTAGTAGACAGTTGATGTTTAATTCTAATTAAGTTTGAAACAAGTAATAAATTCAGGAGAGTTACTTCCGCTCTCTGAAAGGGGATTTATTTGTATGTCTAGTAACAGATGCTTTTTACTGTCATTTTGTTCTTAACTCAATTATTTGATGGTTATTCAAAAAACTAGGAAATTGATTTGCTAGGAGAACAGTATTCACAAGCATTTGTACTGGCTAGGATTTTTTCATACTTCATGATCTGAAATACATAAATACATGCTGTAAAAAAGAGTGGATTGTTTTACATATTCAGAATTAATGTATTCTGAAAGAGAAAACATACAGACATATGGAGACAGATTGGAAAAGAGATTTTGCATGGTATTTAATATTATATTAGACTTTTTTCTCATTTCCACTCATATTTGTTGCATTATTTATCACGGTATGTAAATAGCAGAAGTATTCTTGTTTTGGCTTGTATAGTTTTGTCATATGTATTGTAAAACTTAATGAGTTCATAGAGAATTGAACAAATCTTTTTGTGATTTCTAGTAGATGAACGAGTATAACTATTTTTGGCTTGTAATGATATGCAGAAATTATTAAAAACCCATGCAGGAGTAAGCCCACAACCAGAGTAATTAAGACAAGTACATATGTCTGAATTTAGTAATTTATCTGATAGGTATGTCATATTTTATTAAATACTCTCTATTTATGGGTTCTAGAGTAGTTGACATCTTATCAAGGTAAAGGTGCAATATCAAGGTAAAGGTTAAATATTGTTTCAGGTTCTGATCCAAACTAAAAGAATCTGAATCTTGGTTGCCATCATCATTGCATTTTTCTTTAATTGGAATTAATAGATTAGATCTAGAGATGCTTAATCTAATTTAACTCAACACATTTCCACTGAAGTGAGTAGGAGCTTTTTTTGAAAACTTTTCAAAAAACCAAAAAAACCAAAACCAAACATTATTTTAAAAACAAACTTTCAGAATTTGCCATTCAGTTTTAATCTTTAAAGTTTATAGTATATTATGTAATTGTTTGGTATTTTTTGTCAGAAAGGTCCTTACTCCTTTGAAGCTCCTGCATCGTTCCTTCATGGTTAAGGGTGATGAGATGTAAACAGCTTCACTTGATTAATAATTTAAAATGTCATATTTTTCTGTGGTTCCATACAGACAGAATTGCTTTTTTGAATAATAAAATCCCAAACAAACAAAACCACAACACAAACAAAAGAAAAAATCCAAGTCACCAAACTCATATTTTTTCCAGAAACTAAGATAAGGAATTTTTAAAAAATCCAAACTGTGCATGTGAAGCATGCCAGAGAAAGGGTTAATTCTGTTCTGTCCTAGTACATTCTTCCACTGTTGCTAAAAGGAAATATAAATGCAAACAGCTGCAATTTCTTTGCGTTAATGTCAGAGATAATAATTTTGGATCTGTTCCAAACATATTGATAGCAATCTTACTATTGATTTCTGCAGGATTTTCTTCAGTTCTTCAAAGAAGCTTAGGTTTTCCCTAATTTTTTTGACATTCATCATAATTCTGAAAAAGAATATTGTACTTTATGCCTTCTTGCCTTTTTCTACACACCAATAATCTCAGGTTAATAGTACCATTTAACAGGTTGTTAGTGTGGTCTTGTTTTCCACTTCTGTGAGTCAGAGGCAGTGATTTTCATGTCTTAAAAATTTATTTATCTACTTTTATATCCATTTAGCATAAAGCTAAGAGGAACTATGCTGGCATTCATTTTTCATTTGTAGTGTTTGATCTTATGACTTACATGCCTAATCCATACCCAGTCACGTGCAGAACTTCTTTGATCAGAGGAAGTGTGGGAATAATACCACTGTTGTCATTCCCTAGCCCACTGATTGGACACAAAGAAATTGGATATTCCCTCCTGGACTAGATATGAACCTGTATCTTTCTCAGTGGTAACTCATTTCTTATCCCCAGGGCATTGAGCAATGGCCCATCTACAGAAAAATTTTTCCACTTTCATGGAAATATCAAAATATTTGCTTGGGTAAGAGCTAGAAATGAGATTCTTTAACCTCTAGGTGGATTTTGTGTGTAGGACTGCAATCTCCCAATAGCTACTGCACTGAAGCAGTTTCCCATGTGCCATCCTTTCATGCCTGTTTCTTCTAAGGCATAGGGAGCCAAAAAATTCTTATCTGGAGCAGCATTACAGCATTCCAATTCTTCTGGAATTGCATGCCTCCGTTTTTTGTAAAATGTGAAGAACTGGATTTATTTACCTTTTAAGAAAATTGTGTGGATAAATGCGTTTAGGAACTTAATACTCAGACAATAAATCGAGGAAATGATGCATGTGATATTCCAGGAATGTCAAAATCTGAAAGAGTAGAAGGACAGCAAAGGTTTTATTCCTAAATACAGCATAATATTTTAACTGCCTCCAGTATTTGTGAAAAAATGAAATGAGAAAAATCACAGAACTAAGACTAGTTTGCAATAAATTCTGGCTTGCACTTAAAAGTTCCTAGTTTAAGCAACTGCTAATGATTCAAGCTTTTAAGTGTATTTGAAAGCTATTAGCTATAACCTCATCTTTTGTATGTGGTTTTGGAGCCCTTTAAACTATTCAATTAAATAAATTGGTTCTTGCAGGAAAAAAGCTTCTGCTGATAAATACCAGAGTGAAATTAATGGTGGCAATTGAATTCCATAGGTTAGTGTAAAGAATTGTCAAAGACTTATCTGGAATATAACAATATGTTTTGTTAAAATGAGGAATCCGTTCGGTAATGGTAAATCAATGAAAGGCGGGGTACAACAGCTCCTGTGCACTAGAGAGAAATAGTGACCTGCAGCACAGGGCTTTAAGCACTTCCATTGTCAGGGTTTCAGAAATCTGTTCAGTTACAGACAACTTTTTAATGTCAGCTCTTAGGAAGTAATTCTTTGCCTGTCTTTCTATATAGCAAATGAAACTCCTTGCCTTCTTGCTAAGGCTGAAGATTTTGTCAAGGAAGTGCAGCCAAAGGGAAGGGTTGTTCTGTCTCTGATATATTCATTCACATTGCCATCTTGTTACAACCCTACTGCCTTTTTGTTTTAGCCCAGACACACATTCTGACTCTGTATTTAAATAAACAAAGTCCCAAAAGATAATCCTGACCTGGAGCATTAGTCCATTTGGATCACTGGACACCAAGAAAGTTACACAAAATTTTGATGAAAACTTCTGTTGCCTGAATGCTGGGGAAGAAACTTCTTGGGGTGTAAATGTTTTTTATAAACACATTCACATAACTTATATTGTTTGTGCTCTGGTAAGATATTAAATGCCCAGAAAACTCCAACAGAATCTGAGGAATCAGTTTCTGGTCTAACACTTTGCATTCAGAATAATGTACACCTGTCCTCATGCCCTTACTGTGTTTCAAGTTTGGATTTGGGCTGGTGATGTATGTAATATATTCAATCTGTGAACTGCTTGCCTTGCTGGGGCTGGGTTCCATAGCCAGCGTGAATATA